ACAAATGCGTGAAAAACATATGGGTAGACATCAACAGCAATTTTAATCCAGCACCATGGGACGGCATCAGAAAGGCCATAAAGGACGGAGGGGTCAGCAAATATCAGAGCGATAATCAACTCATACCTATCAGAGGGAAGCATCATTGCGCCAAACAACAAATCATACGAGATGACATGCGGGGTGCCCCAAGGATCCATCATAGAACCTCTATTATGGAACATTTTCTATGGCCAGATCCTAGGCATCGAAACAGAGGAAGGCGTAAAGTTGATCGCATGTGCAGACCATCTTGGCGCGAGCAAAAACAAGAACAGAACTAGAGGACAAAGCATAGTACGCAGCCACAAGGGTGACCGAAAAGCTCACAGAAATGAAAATATCTGTCGCAAGTAGGAAAACGGAGATGCTCATCATGGCCGGGAAGAGGAAGCCGAAATCAATTTGAATAACAACATAATACAGAGCCAGAGGGCAGTAAAGTACCTGGGAGTATATTTTGACAAGGACCTGAGGATGACAACACATAGCAGAAAAGGCCAACAGGATGCTAAACTTACTTATGAGGATAATGCAACAAGAGAAGCATTGTTGCTAGCGCAGTGACCTCTGCCATACTGTACGCTGAACCTATATGGGCGTCTGCGATAGAATATAAAAATCACCTCAGAATTTAGAAAGGGTAAATAGAAGATTGGCCATAGGAATCACCTCTGCCTGCAGAACGGCCTCGATGGCTGCTATGCAAGTGGATTACCACCGATCGATAAAGGAAAAATGAAAAATTCACAATGAAGGAAAGCAAAGTAAAGGCGACGCGAGGGACCAGCTATTCAACAACTGGCAGGAAAGATGATGGGAAGCCTATGATGGGTTCACAAGCCACTTCATCAAAGATGTGCGTGGCTGGATCAATAGGAAGGAACTGATTATTATACAACACAAGCGATAACCTTCGGGATCTACCTGGAGAAAATTAGAAAGGTGAAAACGGACGAATGCTGGTTTTGCGGACAAGAGGACACACCCGTACACATAATCTTCGTGTGCACGGAGGCTGAAGAACTTAAGGAGGAAGCTGCGGAAAAGTGCGGGTCCGAAATTCAATTCTGGAAATGTTGAAAAAAATAATGAAGCGAAAGGAGACAGAGGAGGAAAGACGAGAGATTGAAGTGACATAGAGGACAAATACTCTGAGGTATCACCTCTGCCTGTGATGTATGTAATAATATATTTTTGAATAGTCTAGTTCAGCTTTTTTAATGAATACCATGTGCGTTTGGACAATTAAGCATATTTTGATATTTCAAGGTTCTTCAACCACATAGAAAAGAAATCGCTTCTGGGTTATCCATTGAAAAATTGAACGTTCTTCGTCAAATCTGACATGAGTTGATATTTTTCTTCTCTTTCCAAATTCTCCATGGTTGGTACAGATCAGAAGTTCTCTTCGTTGGTTGCCCGAGATCATCATTAATGTGCATATTTTATCAAAATTTGCGTTATGGGTTTCTTCTATATCCGAGCTATTCAATCCCTTAAACAGACTATCCTGTGATGAATTCATGTTCTCATTTTTACTCTTTATAGTTCCCAGGGTCTTATCCGTTTTACCTTTTTTTTAGGCGGCATTTTGCAATATTCTAATAGGTAACTTTTCGGATTTGTTGGTAATATTAATATTATTATTACTATTCACTTTTTGGTGAACGGTACTTTTTACATTTCTAGGGTGTTTCCTAAACATGCGGCAGCTCAGATTTAGTTCAGCGTTAAAATTTTATACTGTAGTTATACCAAATTTCATACCTTCAGTATAAACGGTTTCGAAAATACAAACGTCTTTAGGTTGCCCCATTTTTCGACAAAATGTTAAGTAAAATGTGTAAAATAACTCAGGAATCATCGCCTGAATTTTTGCCGCATAGGTACCGAGAAAACACCCTGCCTAAAATGTTCAGTCAAAATTCACCACGATGGATTCTCTTATTTTGGTTTGCTGTTTGACACAACCTACCGTCAATGGGTCTATGTGTATTTAGGCGATGAAACTACAAAAGTAAGAGACAACCAAGAGTGTGCAAATAATACCTAGATGGAAACTCGTAAATAATTCAAAATAATAATTTTTCAAAGAAAGTCCCCAAGCTATATTTCACCAGTTCTTACTTACAAAGTCGACCCTAGACTCTGATAAAAAAATTGTAAGTGGGTCAAGAGTACCCAAATAGCTATCAAACTTTCCATGTTGAGTAGACTAGAAAACAAGTTTGACGCGTCGATGCAATGTCATTGAGAGAATATCCTTTCTGACGAAAAATTGTTCCGGAGAAAAGTCTTTTTCCACAGAGTATAAAGTTTCAGTTTTCACGACTTGTGAAGGTTTTCGAAGACAGTGGCATAATTTTCAACCAAGTAGAGGCGATGTGCCATGATATTCATGTGTACTTTAAATATTTTTTGTAAATATTTATTCTACTTTATACTTAAGTACACATAAATATTACCTGATTTTGCTTTTTTCTAGCTTTTTATATTTCTCTTTGTCATATTACAATTTATACATATAATCCGTTTAACAAAAATAATTTTAAACAACTTACTACAGCATCTTACTCCAGCCACGATGACTTAGATTTGACTTCCATTGAACCTGTCCAGTTTGCTACTACCCTATCATCTCATAACTTCCAGACACAGGAAATTACAGACAAGTTAAATCTGCTGGACATATCCAAAAAAGCAGGTCCCGACGGAATACTAGCTATATTTCTGAAAGGCTGCTCGTCTTCCTTAGCCTTACCACTTTGCATTATTTTTTAACGATCTTTGGATTGTGGCTTTTTTCCTGAAAAGTGGAAGTTTTCCCTCCTTCTTCCCATTTTCAAGTCTGGAGATAGGTGCGATGTTGAGAACTATCGTGGAATATCGATACTTTCTGCCATCCCAAAAGTATTCGAATCAATCTTAACCGAGGAAATATTCGGAACCTATAGACTTTATCTTATACCAGAACAACGTGGATTCTTTAGCAAGCGTTCAACTGCATCCAACCTAGCAGTCTACCAGAACTTCTTCACCTCCGTTGAGGCTGGACACAAGGTCGACTCCATTTACACAGATCTAGCCAAGGCTATTGATAGCGTGTGCCACCTCCTTCTTATAAAAAAAAAACCATCAGAAATTGGTACCTACTTCTGGAAACTATTTAGCATGGATCAAATCATATCTTGAAGATCGAACCCAGAGGATTGAAGTGTGTGGCTACTCCTCAAACAATGTCAAGGTCACCTCGGATGTTCCCCAAGGATCACACATGGGACCTGTTCTTTTCCTGTTGTTTATCAACGATGTTTCCTCCTGCTTCCATTCCTCGCACTTTCTCCTGTATGCTGATGACCTGAAATTTTATAATGTTAGGAATGGAGTTTCCAACCCACTGTAACCAGATCTCGACAGATTTGCTTCTTGGTGTTCTTCAAACCTACTGAAAATCAGCATATCCAAATGCAACTCAATGCCATTCCACAAGAGTACATCTCTTCACATGTCATCATATAAGATTGGTGGTCAACAAATTGATAATGTGGAATTCATCAACGACCTTGGAGTAGGTAACGTTCGATCAAAAACTGATATTCAAAATGCACATCGATAATATTGTTGTCAAGAGCTGCAGATTGCTTGGCTTCATTAAGCGAAATACCAAATACATCAACGACACAAAGGCACTTACATGTCTTTACAATGCCCGTACGCAACACTCTTGAATACTGCTTCGTCATCTGAGACCCACATTATACCATCCATATTAATAGACTAGAGAACGTCCAAAACATGTTTCTAAAATACCTACTATATAAACATCGCTTTCCTTCATCTGGAATATCTTATGAAACCAGACTGTTGCTGTGTGGGATGATGACCCTTGAGCAGCGACATAAACACGCCCTACTCATTATTTTTTACAAAATCCTGAATAATTGGATAGATTGCAGCACATTATTGGAATCAATATTGTTTTTGGTCCCAATTAGACGAACCAGACATTAACTTTGTTATGAGCACAGAACAAATTATGGATTCACAGCTTTTGTGGACAGAACGATTTGCAATTACAACAGAAATTATAGGGAGTGTGATCTCTTAAATTATTCTTTATTGTCGATTAAACGTTGTGTCTAAACTCTAGATTTTAATTTATATTTGCTTATGTGTAGGTACTACTAGTCGAACTGTTGTTCACTGTGATTTTGTCCTATATCTTATTTTTTTCAACCATATTTTTATGTATGTAGGTACCATTTGGAAAGCTTATTGTTATTCGGTATTATACTGATCGAGCGAATAAATAAATAAATAAATAAAAAACTTTATTCTTCAATCAATTTTTATCATTGTGCATGAAGATTGTCTTTGTATCAATATAGCCCTGATAATAATAAAACCCACCAGGTCCAATCAATCTTCGGTTAACTTAAACATTTTTTTTTTTTTAGAAATCTTGTATTAATTTTTGATCCCATAGGTTCCTATACCTACAAAAACCATTATGATTAATATTTTTCTCCTAAATTGAATCAAACGCATTGCTCATGTAAGATTCAATAAAATAACAGTCATAACTTTGAATTATGTATTTGAATAGGCATTGATTGATAAATGTATGTGTGTCATACTTAGTAAAATTATTATACCTACTACCACATAACAAACTACATTGTTGCTAAGCTCAAACGAATAACTTACTTAGTTAAAAAAAAACAATTAGCCATGACACCTCCAAGATTCTAAGTTCTAATTTGCAAAAAAAAAAAATCTATTTCAAAATTGTCACTCGACAAATTCGTTGTGATATTATGGCGTTAAAAGTAGTACGTAGGTGCACTATAGGTGTTATAATAGCCTTTTAACTAAACGCAAAAGTCGGTTTTGATTGGCCAAGAGGCGGTCCTGCAGGTCTTGCGGCTCACAGTTATAAACTCCTCGACACCGATGTGTTGCGTTCTGTTCTGTTGTGCTCTTCTTCATTGCATCACGATTTTCCAGTGCCAACAGGTGTGAATTTCGACTGTTGCGGAGCCGCTTAAGAACTTCGAGGTAAGTTTTTTGGAAAGTTTTTATCCGAGCGATTTATGTTGTATAGGTAGTTATTGGAATAATTGTACTTTATTGAACATTTCTTCCTTAAGCTCTATAATGTTGTATGAAGATGTGTGCGCGTTAAAAATTTACCACCGTTGTAAAATGTCCACTAAGTACCTTTATTTTTGGGCCGTAATCATAGACAACCAACGACAATTTTTATATATAGTCTCAAATTTCATAAACTATTGCTAGGATTATAGAAAAGAACATCGAATCAATTGTAATTATAGGATCGTTTTCCGATGTGCATTGTTTTTAGATATAGAATAAATATATAATTCGTTAAAAAAAAATTAAAATTTTTCTCCATGCGTTGAAAATCGGTAGGGTAAGGTGACTATAACAAAGAACCTGTCATCGGATTTCTATTCTAATAGTTGGGGTAATAATTACTTAGATGAGAGTCCAAAAATAAAATGTATTCACTCGCTGAGCGCACTTTGATTTTGAATCGATATAAAGAAATAAAGATTTTATACTACTTAGAAGCAATTTTTCCAGAATTTTATAATAAAAGGTTTGTCTTGAACTATGCACGAAAGTATTTATAACTACCTACTATTTTTTAAAATTTCCTGCCTATTATTTTTATACCACCCCCACCTTTTTTTTTCAAATGTAAAGATATTTATTGTGATAGCTCGTTGGAATGGGCATAAAAAAAGGAAAATGACCCATTATTTACTTTTGCATTTCGGTGATCTAGGAAGCGAAAAAAAAAATAAAACATATTTTTCCACACAATTTTTTTCTAGTTAAAATTGTTGAATATCTTCAGCATTTCTTCTTGGTAGAACCCTAATACGAAACAAGCCCCATTTGTAACGTTATGTATTGATTTCTGACGTTAACACACTATTTGATGCCTGATACTCGGATTCTCAACCCCAAAATAGTGCGTTAATGTCAAAAATAATTACATAACTAGATCACCGAAATGCTTTAATAATGGGTCATATTCCTTTTTTTATGCCCATTCCAACGAGCTATCACAATACATATCTTTATATTTGAAAAAAAAAAGTTGGGGGTGGTTTCTACCCCTAAGAGAGGGGTAAATTCCATGAAAAGGCCGAAAAAATTAGCAAGACTTAAACCTATGATTACATATGTGTTCAAATTAGAGTTTTCAAAAGACAATTCTTTTAGATTGTGAACTCTTATCTGTTTCGTCGTCTTGAAGGCTTCTTCTAAGCCTTCTTGGTTGATTTCTTGAAGTTCCAATGTTGTTTCGTTCTCTGGAAGTTCAGGGATGTCTATTCTTGGAATCTTCAGTTCAAAATTGAAGTTCTCGCTGGTTTTTGAAAATGTTTGATTTTGTATTTTCACAAAGCATTTCTCAAAAGAAACTAGCGTTGGATTGGTTATTATTTCCATGTGGTTTGTCTTGTCATATTGAATAACTATCGTCAGACTTTTCTTAGGGATGACCAATAGTCGTCCATTCGGGAGTTATCTCACTGTTGGTTTTTCATATTTCACTCTAGTGAAAGAACATTTTTGTGGTAGGTCAGTAATCAGGTCATAGACACATGATTCTTCTTGCTTCAGCTCTTCTTGGTTACAAAGATACACATTTTCGACTTTCGGGCATTCCCATAAAGTATTGTAGTAAATTTTCGTAGTAAGTAATAGGTAAGGGTACTTATTCCTAATGGTAAGTTCTTGGATAGGAATTGGATAGATTTTATACAATATAAAAGGCTTAGGGATCAATCATTGGTGTGTATAACAAATATAATTAACTCATTTTGGATTTTTACTTGAGTTTTCATTGTCTCGTAATACTTGATTTTATTATCAGAAGATATTTGCTGACTTTTGGGTATATTTGTTAATACTTGATTTAATTCATTATGCTGTAAAATAGTATAATGCATTATTCCCAATTGTGCGAAATGTATTGCTAATTGTACATGATCAATAAGATTCCTTATTTTATTACTTTGGATATTGATATTGTTCAATATTAGATTAAAGGTTAACATTGAGTGGAAATTTTGGTTTTCCAACGAAATATTTTGTAATTTTCCTGTGATAACCTTTTAGTTGGATTCAATAGTTATAAATTGATCGTGAAATTTTTTTTGTAACTTGTTTCAATATTTGAGCTTGTGTTTTTAGATCTCCATTTAGAGTCTTTTGATTATCATTGAGCGTCTGGATATAAGAATCATATCTTGCGCCGTCTTCAGCATCTAGGTTCCGTAGAGCCATTTTTCTGCTGTGCACATGAAATCTAATAGACCTCTTTTGTTTCGTTTTCGGTCTTTATAGGTTTTATGACTTGTTTCATAATCTTAATTTGAGAATGACTGTTTTCAATATTTGTTTGAAACAGTGCAACAAATTGTTTTGTTCATGTTGTTTTGTTTAAGAGGGTCCGATAATTTCATTATGGTAATTTCCAGTTTATGGATACTTTGTATGATAATTGTCGTGTTTATGTGATAATGAGCCGTGTTATGTTGAGTTGTTACGTAAGTAGTTCCTAAAGAAATTGGTAAAGCAGGCTTGGTGAATCCAACGAGAGTTAGGAATACTAAGGCAATTATCTCGGGGTACCTGAAATAAATTATTGTCGTTTAACATTTTGTTTAGCAAAGCGATTCTGTGTTTTGCTATCATAACGCAGACTAATCTTGTCTCTATTAAATTGTTTTACGAAGATTGGATCTCGTAATTCTGGTTCGATTTCTCGATTTTTATTGCGTGATTCTAAAGACTTTGTTTGTTTCGCTAATAATAATTTTTCTTGAATTTCTTTATTCAAATTTGCAAGGGATTGTGCCAAACTTGTTATATAGTCAGTTGTTAGTTTATTTTCTGTTTGTTCAATTGGTATGGCATAATTCAAATCTCCTTTAATCACTTAAAATGTGGCGTGATTCATTGTACTATGAGTACTCTTGTTATAATTCAATATAGCGATTGTCATTAGATCAATAATAGGTACTCTTATTCGGGTTTTGGAGTTTTAAACTCGTTATACTTTCACGTAGTGTCAAATGGAATCTTTCGATTGGACTATTCGAGTTCGGGTTTCTTGGAGTTGTATAATGAAACTCAATTTTGCTTGATGTACAAAGATCTGTCATTATAGCATTTTTGAACTCTGCTCCATTATCTGATGTGATTTTTTGAGGTATTCCGTAATCACTAAAATATTTCAATAACTGTGATGATATCTCTACAGCTGTTTTCGTATTTACAGGAGAGGTTTGACCAAATTTTGAAAAGCTATCAATAATGGTCAGAAATTTCTGGTTATTGATTATATAGGTGTCAATATAAATATGTTCAAAGGGTTTCGTACCAATGGGTGTTGGTTTGAATATGATTTTGTATGGTTGACGTTCATACTTGGTTTTACTGCATATCTCGCATAATTTGACATAATTCTATACGTCTTTCTCGATATTGGGCCAATAGAATCTTTTCTTTAAGGCTGCAACATTTTCAGTGATTTCTCTATGAGAGGTTTTAGTCTCATGATATTGCTGAATTTTCTCTTATTGAAGATCAACTTCTGTGATGTCTTCTAATAAAGAGTTCGAGATGTACAAAGTAAACGAATTCGAATTAAACGATTCTTGTAATGCTCGTATCATAATAGGTTCTAAAGATTTATTTAGGAAATGATAGCAATAAATACCAGGTGGCATGTATTCCTTTACTCAATTAGTAATTTGTGATGTTGTTGGATTATTTGGTAAGAAGAAGATTATTCTCTTTTTATTACCAAATAGTTTGATAATTTCTTTCCTATTAGTGTTATTATTGGAATATCGAAATACAATTTGATTTCCAAATATATTTACATGTTTCTTAGTATATGGAGCTTCTAATATTGGATTTTCCATAGACGTATGTATTGTTTGGTCATTTCCAGATAAGGCTGAAATTGTTTGTTCGTCATTCGAAGGTGTTATTTGTCTTTTACTTCTTTGAGTTTTTGAAGATGCTCCTATTTCTATGGGAATTTTTTTTTTCTCTTTTCGCGGAGGTATTATTAGTTGTGATAATATTTTTATTTTAGGTCTTTCTTTCTTAGGTTCCTCTTCAGGTTCTTTGTCTGATGCTGTTTCTGTTGATTGAGACGATTCAGACAATGCTATCTCTTTTTCTTTAGCTTTCTCGCTTTATTTAGGAAGATATACTTTAGAGTCTGTAAAGTATTTTGCTATGATTTCATCATTACATAATGGTGTATCTTTCAGCATAACTCCTAATTTTTTGTGAAATTCTTCATCTGAAGATGTTAATCTGACATCTGGATCTGATTTTTGGACGGCATGAAGTTGTATTGCAGGAATTCTTGATAGTGCATCTGCATCCATGTTTAATATTCCTTTTTTGTATTTTATTTTATAATCAAATTCGGATAGTTTTAGTCACCATCTGACTAATTTAGAACTTGGTTCTTTAACATTAAATAGCCATTGTAGAGGTTTGTGATCTCACAAGATTGTGAATTTTCTACCAAAAAGATAAAGTCGAAAATATTTTGTTGCCCATACGATTGCTAAAAGTTCTTTTTCAATCGTCGATTAATTACATTCAGCTGGATTTAAGGTTCTTGATGCGTATGCAATGAGAAGATCAGCTCCAACAGGACCTTGAGATAAAACAGCTCCAATTGCATACTTTGAGGCATCGGTTGTCAATAAGAAAGGTTTTTTAAAATCAGGGTGTTGTAATATAGGGTCATTTATAAGTACATTTTTACAAGTTTCAAATCTATTAAGATATTCTGCATTATGTATTATTTTTTTGTCTTTTTGGCAGAATTTTTTATGAATTTTCGGTAATAACCTACTAATCCTAAAAATGATTTTATTTCCTTCACCGTCTTTGGTATTGGGAAATTTTTAATTGCCATTATCTTTTTTGGATTCGGTTTTATTCCATTTGGTGTAATTACGTGTCCTAAGAATTCGACTGTCTTGTGT